AGGTCAGGGTTCGTTTTCTTATAATGTTGACTGACGTGTGATTAAAGCAGATAGGTACTAAACCAGGGAAATTATTTGAATCTGTAATTCAATTATGGCTATAAACAATCACAGAACCATTATGATTGATAAAAATATATTCATCTGTGACACCTGAGATGCCTGCAAGAAAATGGACAGAAAATTGTAAGTAACAAAAAGCTGTTGCTTCATCATGACTGATAATTTAGCAACAGTATCACAAAGGTTTTTGTGATTAATAAAAGTAAAATTAAACCTAGGCAACAGGTGGATGTTAAGATGCTAATCTTAACATTTTAAGAGACGCATTACAAAATGCAAGATTCTTGTTACAGTGAGGGGGGGAGACTACATTTGCAGTAATGAGTAGTCATTCCTTGAATAATTAATTTTGAACAAGTTTTGTATCTGAAAATAAAAATGTTCTTGCCTACATAAATTTTACTTCCTCTAAGTTTTCATTTGCATTCTTTCCACCATACTGAATACATTAACTTACTGCAGAAGGAGCCTAAGTTAATTAACATTTAAGAGACGTGGTTTCTAAACAACATTTCAACTAACCTCTGATGCACTGAATAAATTCAAATGATCAACAGTGATTTCGATCATTCAGTGAGGCTCAAAGCAGAAAATGAAGGCTTTCACTTCAAGAGCCAATTTTCCTGTCCATAACTTTTCTACCCGTTCTGTTAGTGTAGAAACAGTATGAGTAATTGTTACTTCTTTGTTTTCATATAAAAGTAATTAGATTTTGTAATAAAGCTAATCAAATTTTTTGTAAATATTTTTGAAAAAAATATGCTGGCAATGTAGTACAAAAATTGTATGTTTTAAGCCAAATTTTATATAAAAAGAATCATGACAAAAATCTTTAAAAATAGATTAAGTATTTCAGTAAGCACTAATTGGGTTTTAACAAATTATATGCAAAACTGTTAATAATCTGAATGAAAAACAAACAAATCCAACAGCAGGTACCCTTATTAAAAATAATTGGTTAGATCTAATGCCTTTATAATCAATGATACATTTTTGTTTAGCACAGCAATGAACACCCCCCTTAAAGACTATAAGGTTTAACTGCTTAGTCCATAGAAACCAACAACAAAATGCTGATAGTTAGCCTTATGGGTGGTTGGGACCGCAGATGGGGGTGTGGGGGTAACCCATTGTCAACAGGCAGCTTGAATGAACTGAGTATTATGAGGAGAGACTGCAAATCAAGTGCTAAGCCCTCCCTCAAAGCCGATCCTACTGTCTGTACAAAATCCACAGAGAATCGACCTACAAGGAGAATGACAGGGAAGGCAGAGTTTCCCACTGGGGCACAGAGAGGGAAACAGAAGCAGTAACCAAGGAAGAGAAAGAGGAGTCGGGTTGGGGGTAAGGGGTCGGAACCGACTGTGAAAAAAGAAAAAAAAAAAAAGAGCGGGAATGAGAGGACTGAACAAAGGGAGCTATAAAACAGGAAAAGAAAGTTGCAGGAAAATGAGAGCATGCTTTAAAACACCAAGCGATTTCTCATTTTAGGCATCCAATAAATACATTTCACTTCTGTGATTTCTACAAAGTCCACCTCAAGTTTTAGCTCATATTGAGCTGATTCATCTCTAGCCAACTCAAATCCCACCTGGGTCAAATGTGACAGGTGGATAGCTGAAGGTGGGGATCCCCCCCCCCCCCTCTGCCTGCTGTGCTGTGAAAAGCCATCTCATTGTCTTTCCAGTAAATGAAAAATAACATGTAATCCAAGGTTTGAAGCAGAAGCAAGACAGTTTCCATTTTAACTTTGAAGATCTGTGAATGGATTCTGTTCAGTACAAACAACCAGCCAGAAGAATGAGACAGAAATCTTTAGATGGAAGATAATTTCTGGACAAGATATCTTGTTTGATGAGGTTTTTGACTGATAAACATCACAAACAAATCAAATTCATTTATTTGGTTAAACACGATTCTGCCAACCAAGAGTCAAAATTGGGTTTTTGTCATTTTGCATATCTGAGAGAAAGGGCTAAATATCCTAATCAAATCACATTGATTTAGTCAAAAATGAAACCAAGGTTATTTGTCATAATTTGTTTCCCCCACTTCATAAATTTAAGAGCTTTGCTTCATACATTGTTTTTCAGGAACAAATAGCTGTCCTTCCAAACAAAGCAGAAGAATAAAACCAAAGCGTCTAATACTGTCCTCCTCCCCCCCCTCCTCTATCTTGCTGGGGGTGAGATAGATTCGTTATTGGTGGTTCTCAACCCTGGTCCGCATGAGCCTATTAATCACACATTTATTGAAGCCAGGTGTTTGGAAGCAGGAAAACACCTAAAACATGCAGGACGGTGGGTCCTGAGGACCAAAGTTGGGAAACACTGCTTACCGATTCCCTACTTTAACCAATGCCAAAATATTTGCATTTTAAACAGGATTCATACATGTATTACTGAAGTTTAAATATGACAGTTACTGTACTATAATTTTGTAGATTATATTCTTTGTGATCATCTGAAACAGAAATGTCTTTCAAACTTGGAACAATTATTAAAACAGCCCCACCAGAAATGTACCAAATGTCATTCAATTACAGCAAAAAATAGATTTAAGGTATTCCCCTTTCACATCTTGTTTCAAGTAAATGGAATTTACAAATTAGAAGGGTTATGAAAAATACAAAACAAAAAGGGATGGGCGTTCACACTTTTCTTAATATGACAGGGCTTGTTTTATCCTATGGCAAAATAATGTTCACCATCTGATGCACTGTGTTAATATCAATGCTGTTAAATTATTATTATTTTTTTAAGCTTCAAAAGCTTTTACTTCTCACAGCCCTCATGCTAAGCTCTTGGGAACGATGGCCCCCATGGTAAATATGCTAGGCACCATTGAGAAGCATCAAAACAGGCGAAGTGATCAATAAGCATTTTCTCCACACTATTCTAGACCAGACTGACCAGGAGAAGGCCCCCCTTTTAATCATTCACCAAAGAACAGACCTCAACGGTCAGCATGCAGAAACACTAGATGACCAATTAACAAACACAGCATATTATCAACACAAACTTGCATCTGCATTAATGTATTTCAAAATGAAAACACCAGCAATATTTTTAACAAACTAAATGTCAAGTTGGATAGTGGTATAGTCAGTGAAACTCCATGTGTTGTGTTCTCAGAGCCCTGAGCAAACACATCCTCTACTGGCAGGTCTCCAGGTCTGCTTTTATGGCAACCATGCTGATTGAGGAGCTGGAGGGGTAAACTACAATAAACAAGCCAGGAGTTTATTAGGATATTGGGTTAAATTTTTCCCAGTAATTGTTTTCAAGCAATCTACTACGGAAGGCTTTTAGTGCGCCTACCAGAATGTTAAAACTTAGATTAAAGTAACAGAATTTCAATATGAGACACCAAGTTGTTTCTGGGATTTGGACACCATTCATTCACTTCTGCATTTGTTTGAGGCATCCATCTGTTATCATATGTTGGTGGGAAAACACCTTGCAGTCCCGTTTGCTGTTAATGCTGGGAAGCTGAAGGAGGCTGAGTAACTAATAGGACAACAGGCAACAGAGAGGGATCTCCTCTTGAAGGAGACGGGAGTGGGCAACGGACCAGCTCCAGTATCATGTATCACTGGCTAATCAAGAGAACCTTGCATTCAGTTTATGGTCGCATAAGAGGAAAGCTTCCTTTACAATGGAGACAAAGCCAGGTGGTTCAAAACTGTTTAACGGCTACTATGATCAAGGTGGCTGCTGTTTGGTTCTCACCAGGTCTGGACAAAGATGAGTAAAAAAAAAATCTAAATTAAACATTACGGTAACTAAAATGAAATTTCTTTTTAAGTTAGAAGAAATCTTTTTCAGTTTCTGGGATAAAATATTTAGAAATAGAGAATTTCTGATGACAAAGTAAACAAAATAATTTATTATACTTATTATTATTATTATTATTATACATTTCTATTTTAGATACAATTAGTGGTTATTGTTTCTTTTTTGGTCCAGCAAAATTTTGTTGGAAGGATGGAAGGATTACCAAAATAGTCTTAATGTTCTTTATCAAAAATGTACTGATTTAGTGCATATACACATGCTTGATTATATGTCTGAATATTATGACATTTTTAAATATATATTTTTACATGATTTAGGATTTATTTTGGAAATAATGCAAGAATTTAATTTCTTTCCAGTCAGAGCATGTGACAGTTTTCTATTACTATTAAAAGTAACCTCTGGACTGGAAATCCCCCACACATTTATTATTACAACTAAACAGACAAAATATTGATCTGAGTTCATCAGTCAAATATTTCAAGGCAAATTATCAAAAAAAAAAATTAATTAAGCACTTTTTGTGAATTTGGATCAAAGCTTTCCAATATGAAGGACCAGAATGAATCCAAAATATTAATTTTAGAAAGACTTGTCTTATTTATTCACCTACATGTTACTTCTGATCACTACATTCTTTTTATTTATTTATTTATTACTGTTTAACTGTGCTGCCTAACAGTTTTGAGCACCAAACATATGTACCATAGTAAAGATGTTAGGCTGAAAGGCAGCTGCTAAATATGTTGAGGTCAGTTTGGAGGAGTCAGTTCCTGACAGAGGTCAACTAGGGTCACATGTTCTGCGATGACCAGAAATGCAGGCTTCAGGGGAATACCAGGCTTGTGTTTGAAGCCCACACCTGACCTGCCTGATGATGTAAAATCAGCAGAACCACCTCCTCACTGTAACTGAATACAAAATTGAGAATAGTTCAATTATTTCCCCATGAGATCCAAAAGGAAAAAAAACAATTACACATCTTGTCCATCCACTCCTACACAATGTATAATCCTGTGGTGCGATCCATTCAAGTGATCTAAAACCTACGATCTACAATAAAGGATCTATTACACCTATGTTCCATCTCACCCTTACTTGCGAAACAGTCAAGAAAAGAAATGCTGCAAGATTAATCACCTGTAGTTCCGATTTCCATTCATGAGGTCTCTGCCCGGTTCGCTTCCCGGATCACAGATGTCAAACGTTCGGGACTCCTCCGTTAAGTCCGGTGTCTCCTTCGGGAGTGCAGCGCCTCTGCCTCCTCCGCTGAGTAACAGCGTGTCCCAACCCCCGATATCCTCCTCTTTCACTCGCACTTTGAAAAGGCAATCCTCGCTATGGTTTTCCGTTGGCTCCACAAACCACCTTCTCCGCACGCCGACTACTAAAATCGGATTTCACTGCCACGGCGAAGGACGGTGGCTGCTGTGGGGAATGAAAAATCTGCTAGTTAGCCAAGTTAGCTTGCTAGCCAGGCTTTGGGGGAAAGTGGCTGGAGCAGACGAGAGGAGCTGTCAGGAGATCATCACAGCGGGGTCATTGAGTCCAACTAAATCCCCACCGATGTGTGGCCGTCCCCACGGACGACATAAATATTTAACCACGGCACAAGAAATCGTAGGAGCAGCTAAAGTGGTTAGCTCGCAGGCTAGCTCTACCGATAGTTGGAATTCTGACAGACGACGGCCACTTTTTATCGCGTTAAAAACAGCTGCTTCAGGCGGGTCGCTTTTCCCAGGCTCCCTCTTCCGCAGACGTCGTCGTCTGGAAGTAGTGTCCAAGCGTCGAAACGAAGCTGTCAATCCCGCTGTGTGTCCGCCGATAAGTGTCGGGATTTCCAGACTTGGTTGACAGAACAACTCTGCAGGGCTTCGGCAAGCCAGCTAAATATGGTGAAGTTGCCTTTCTGACACCGACAGGAAGAGGTGGGCTCAATGTTGCCAGACGTCAGAACCAAGAACTCCGCCTTCAGCTGGAGGTAAGCCTACGTTTATGAATAAATCAGCGGACCATTACAGGTGCATTTGAATATCGAGTTTAAATTCTATTTTACCAGCACAGTGTAAAAAGGAAAACTCAAAATCTGTAGCTTTATTACACATAGTGAAAACCACTAAATAGAGTCAACAAAAGCCACACAAGCTCTTCACTAAGTGCTTCATCCAAACATTTTCATAGGAAATTTAGAAGAGAAAATTATAGTTAATGAAAAGGGAGGGCTCTGCAACCTTGAGAGGATTGTGAAGCACAGTCCATTCAAAAGGATTATAAGAGATTTACAAAGATTTCTAAAATAGGAAACACAAATTTAAGGCATGTATAATTAAGGCGAATGTCACCTTATGCCACTACACAAAGGATATATACACCATTGAAAGGTCTTCTTGTTCACTGAATCCAATAAAATTAATGAAAGGTTAATTGGAAGGGATAAAAATGTGGCCGAAAAAGGTGCACAAGTATCAAGACTAACAGCAAGTTTAAGAGGATTGTGAAGCAAAGCCTATTAGATATTAGGTACACCTTTCAATCAAAACTTATGACACGTTATGAGTATGAATATTAAAAATAGGGTGTTTTTATCACTGCCCTGTACTGTTCTTGGTGAATCTGAAAGACACCCTTGTACTGTTTGTTCCTCAATCTGCTTTCTCTCCCCACCCTTCTTTGAAGTTGGTCTAAAAGATGGCTGTCCTAGTGGTCTGAACGACTTGCCTCCTGCTTCTGCTTGTTCTCAGTCTGAAAGACACTTCTCTTTGTTTGTACTTGGTCTAAAACATGGCTGTTGTAGTGGTCTAGACTCTAGAAGACTTGTGTCCTCAGCTCCCTTTGTCTGTACTCCACCTGAAAGAGACCCATCTCCTGCTCTTTCATGGGATAAATGAGTCTAAATGTCTAATCGTCTAGACTTGCCTTCTCAGCTCCTTGTTTGTACTCAACCTGAAAAACAACTTTCATTTGCAGTTATTTTAATCTTATCCAGATTAGTTTTTTTTAAATTGTCATTTTAGATTTAACTTTAAACTTAAAATATAAAAGCAGAGTTAGCTCTTACAGTGTGTACTGGCAATATATATTAAAATATGTACTACAATTAGTACTATTTAGCTAGCAATTTACCAGTTATCTCCCCAGTCTGAACTTATGAACAATGTCTTGATTCAGTCAAATCTTCTATCCTGTATCTCCTGTACTCCGAATCGACTACGTCCACTCTGTGAATGTTTTGCTTGCTGGTCTTCATCATGCTTTGGTTTCTCTTGCTTTAACTGGCCCAACTTGCACCTGATTGGTAGCCTATTGTTGGCCACCCTGTGAGGCGGTGCTTCACCATCTCCCTCATGGTTGGTTCAGAAGATGAGAAGACATTGTGACTGAATTTTAGACACCAGTAGGCAGATCATGCAGCTTTTACTATATGGCAGTCCTAAAAGTACATACCTTTAAAATATGAATAAATACATACAATTCCATAATTCTTTGATTCAGCGGTGATAGAAGTTTGGTAATAATGCAAATCTTTCATCACATTGCCCCACATTCCCTCCCAATTCAGGGATTATGATTTCTTAATTTCAGTGTTTATGCTACTGGAATGAGACAGGACGAGAAATAGAGTTAAAACAAGATTTAGAAAGAAAATAATTACTAGTTGTATTTACAGGGAGAAAGGCTATGATTAGTTATCAAGACAGAATGAGACCTGTAAAACTGTTGGGTTCATATGACCCAAGGAGAAAACCAGTCATCTGCTCCAACAATTTATTACCCTTTAAGAAATATTTTTGGACACAAGGAGCAGGAACATCACAACATCAGCTGTATTTTTCATCCTTATGTCAGTGATTTAAAATTATTTTCAATTTTTGATACCATGCAGTAGATCACAAAATTGTGCTTGAATGTAAAAGTCAATTATTTTTTCACCTTTAGAAAAGTGTAATGTGTTTATGAGTAGGATTAACCAAGCTGAAGTAAAACAAAGAAAAAGGAGAAATAAATATTCATTGATACAGAACCGAACTAGCAAATATGAATTCATGAAACTAATGCAACCTTCAAGAATCTTATGCTGTGCAAGATATTTAAGAAAATAATACTAAAACCGCACTTGGTTGTGGATCTTCAAGACGGAAAGAGTAAATGTGTTGATTCCGAGTAACTGAATGATTAACTAAATTTTAGAGTTCTGTCAGTGATGTTATTCATTTTGTTGTGGGCCTAGTCTCAGAAAGAAACAAAGAAGGAAGGCAATAAATGTACATGTTGGTTATACAGGGTTCCCCTGAAAATATGCATAAAATTGATCATTACAGAGTAAAAGTAATTTGAAGAGGGAAGCATATAAAATCAAGTCAATGACACGATGCAATCTGCTTTATTAACTCGGATAACTTAACATTTTAGGGAGGGGGGGGTTGGTAAATTGTTTTGAGATTACCTATTGTAAATTAGTACAGTCAGTACAGTTGTGTACTAGGACATTTGAACACAATTGCTGTTTCCTTCTCTTGACAAACTTTATGGAAATGCTGATTTTATTTTCCAGGACAATGTGGCAGCTGACCACACTATCAAAAATATAAATGCCTGTTTAATTGCCCTGCAATCATTATTATTTTAAAGGGAAGGGCATGCAGTTATTCATTCAAAGAGGAGCACCAACTATGTTGTCAGTGTATACATGAACAAACCTTTCACTGGCTGACTGTTTCAATCAGTGAAAATGACAGTCATCTAAAAATGACTGTTGTATAATACTGAAATTTTTTTTGAGTGACTGAATTTGTTTCATTAGCAATAATTCACAAACATTAACACCAGAAATATTTCCGCTTGTGTGCCAAGTCTTTAAAATATAAATTTCCAATTTTTTTATTGAATTACTAAAATAAAATACATGTCCAATTAGGCAGTTGTCAGACAAATTCATCCAGGAAAATTTAGGTCCAACTGAAGTGACTCTTCTGATCCCAAATGGAAACATGTGAAACTTCTTTTGCTGTAACATTGAAACCAAGGAGATTTCTTATGGACTAAAGTGGGGAAAATCTGTGGGGGTGAAAAGAGTGGATTGAGATTCACCTGACATTTGAGTCTCACTCCAGAAGAGTCATAATGACAACTGAAATACATTAGAATGAAACTAAAACTTTCATAGTAAAATGAAGAAATCTATTCACCTTTTAGTATAAATTAAAATAAAGACATCACAAAAAATTTAAAAAAACAACATTTTATTTTCATTAAAAAATAACCCTCCCCAACAGAGCTCTAGTACTATCACACACAGAGCCAAAATAATATGCTTCCATGTCATTTCATTCATATCTATTGGGAAGTGCTATGAGAAGGACTGTTCTTGATCAGTGGCTTCAATATTGCTTTGACAGACCGTGAGGCTGTGTGGAGAGGAACGGACTCTCCTGTGTCCACGATACATTTCTGGGGTGACTGCACATTTTTGTGTCTCCCCTTTGCAAGGTGCTTTTGTGGCTTCGGCAAGTGAAGAACTGCATCTGGTTTTAGTGGTGCCCGGGAAATATCCCCAGACTGGTATTTATCGAGTACAGAACAAGCAGTAAAACACTGGCCTCAAGAGTGAAAAGGCCCCGTGTGTGTTGGGCCAAAATATAACATGTAAATATTATATATTTATATATACAAATCACCTTGGACACAATGAAGGATCAGTAAAACGGCATACAAAGGCATTCTGATTATGCAATTTCATAAATACGATTTTAAAATCAAACTTGTCTGACCTCTTTTCTCACAATCCCTTTCGACGTTAAAGGGCCTCTGACCATCAGACAAGATTTGAGGCGTTTTAAGGGCAGCTGAGGTGGAATTTTGAGACCGTCTTCACAGTGCCCTCTTGAGGAAACACTGACAATAGTCACAATATTCATAATGACAAAAAATAGCAGTCTTTATAACCATTACACAATCGAGGCAAAACAATTAACAGGCAGTGGCGAGCACAAGGCTCCTACCTCTAAGAAAACCAAAGTAAGGTGGCTCAGAATATCCAGTCAATAAAAAATAATAATTACATGCATTTTCCCCCTATAAATCCAGAGAACTACACGATGTAAAAGGCAGGGCATATTAAGGAGTAGTAATAGAGGCCCACCCTGTCCAATGAACAATTCCCTGTCTGTGCTGCCCATGCACACAGAGCACCAATAGAAATTTGGCAAACACAGACTAGGGGATTGGGGCAGAGGATGCTGAATGTCTATAACGCCAAAAGTGGAACGCAATTGGCAAGGAAGGAGTGGCGGAAGAGGCCAATGCACTGATAGTTTGGCCTGAATGAGAGATGAGACAAGTGCATTGGCTTAGTTTTTTCTCTACAGGCTGAGACAGAAACCAAGAGCTCAGATACGTGTGCTTTTGTTTTCCAGGCAATGATATGTAAATGCCTGCAGTGGGAAGAGCAGGACAGATGGAAGATAGGTGTGTACAGGTATGACAAGAATGTTGTGATTCAAAGTGTTAGAATGCACTGTGTGGCTTCGCTGCCACCGATATGAGTAGGAATGATGATGTGCAGAACGATCAGAGCAAGGCCCCTGGCTGAATGCGTGTACAGCTTTGCAGCACTTGAGTGATCAGACTTTGTTTGCCTGCTTTCAAATGTCCAGGATAGTTCAACATGCAAGGATAGGTAACCTTGCATGGTGCCTTTGTTCTGAAAGCACTGCAAGTGTTGGAGTGAAAGTTTAAAGTAGTTTGTCAAGTTTCTAAGTTCATTTTGTAAAATAAAATCAGTAAGTAAACAAAAGTGCCTCATAAGTCCTTAAAGAGCATTGAATACAGAAATAATAGATTATCTTCCTGTTTAAGTGCCCCTTTTTCATTGGTTGGCATCACTTTTGGCTGGTTAATAATGCTGGTTTAGGTGCATGGGGTGCAAGTATATTTGATACACTCTATGCAAATGGTCCCTCTTGTGTTACGCTACGCTTGCGTCTATAGGCAAAATCTCTAGGGACTAGCCAATCAGGACTGAGAGTGCAGCAGCATCTCTCTCCTGCATCTACAGTCGCTACACCCGCTCCTTCTGTCGGTGCTAATACAAAGACCAGAGGGCTAGCCTCGCATGAATACCAAACTCTTTATGTGCAGGACAGGTGGCACCTACATGCTAACACTAAGTGCTAATGTACCATACCTCAGACTCTTCAAGGCTGTTTTTTTAAACAATAAGCATAACATCATTTAAGAAAAAAAAAATCTAAAACATAAATGCAAGTCATGAAGTAGTTAAAAAATTATATGTATGTGTGTGCATGCTCAGTACTGCCCACCTGGAGAATCCCCACTCTCAGGGGCTTGGAACACTGGCATCCGTCTTTCGGATGGGTAGAGGCAGCATTGTGGCGGTAAAAAAAAAAAAAGAAGTTTAACCATTTTTTTAATCGCCCTTTCTAGAGCCTATTTTTCCTCCCATCTCTATTGCATACTTACATTGATAGGAGTGTGAAGGTAGCATACAATACAATTACATAATAATATTCACTTAAAAAAAAAATCAACATAAAAAAGCAACTGTCTTGTTAACGTAAAAACAACAAAATGATATTCAAAACCTATCGAGTGCATGAGGCTGCAGGCTCAGCCCGTAATTACGGGAGGACGTTGTGTTTTTTGGATCGAAGAAGACTGGCTGGCAGGTCTGTGGAAGTGTGTGTAGCGGGTAGTTGTCGGGAGTAAGGAATGGGGATGAGGCGGGAGTGGGCTTTCCGCCCGCTCAGGTAAAAATGAGGTGGAAGAGAACAACGGTGACAATGGCTGGTGAACCTCAGGCGAAGTACATGGTCCTCAGAGTGTCGTGGTGAATCTGAACAGCTTTAGCCAACGCCTGGGGGTCCCGGCCATTACTCTGACCCGATACATGGCTGCCCTCCCCACTGCAAGTCGACAGAAAAGGAGAGAAGATGCAGCAAAAAATTTAGCAACATGTGTACCTCAAAGAAAAGGGTTGATTCTATTGTACAATTTAAAAAGTGTGATATTTTTAATTGCATAATGGAATCTTAGAATTGCATAATAATCTTAGTTTTACAAAACTAATAATCTTAGTTTTATTAAGAAGAAAAAGAAAAAGACAACAGATGAGCTAAAATTAATTATTAAAAGTTACCTGGACCTCAGCAGGCTGATGGCCTACACGCTAGACTAGCATGGACCAATGAGGTGATGCAAAAACCTCCCCAAGTAGTGCGTACATTTACTGTATAGCTGATTGACATACTTTTCAGTAAGTTAACATTTCCGTTTTAAATTTTATTTCAAATTGGTCTTATATAATTTTTCAATGTTCAGAAAAACTAAATCAGAAAAACTAAATGCTTTGCACTAGTTGTTAGCAATAATGATAAAAATAAAAGAAATACACAATATTTGTTATTAAACTATGCAAGTTTTTAATTTTGAAACGAATTACTTAAGTTTACTTTTCAATTATGTTGTAGCTAACTGAGATGCCCTGGTATCATTAAAATAAAAAGGCAACAACATAATGTCCCAGTTTGATTTCCATCATAAGCAAAACATTATGCCAAATATAGTTTGATGGTGAACTGTACATAGTACATATATGACAAAGGAAATCTCTTTAGATATCGCATTGGTCTTCCCAAACTGAAATATGTAATGCTTGCGTTATACACGAACCTGTCATGTTCTTTGTCCACCAGATGGTAGCGGGCACGGAAGGCCACAAGTCGGGCATAGTAGGCCGGCGCAGGGATGGAGACTGAACGGGTACAACGAACGTACGTGTGGCACAACTGGTAGGTTAGAATCTGCAACTCATCTGCTGTGAAACGATTGTCGTCCCACAAGACGTAGTAATGAGACGGCCGACTGGTGCCCTGGTGACACAAAGGAAACAGGAAATGAACTGAACATCTATGCTGTTTAAAACTGGGAGAGAAAAAAACAATTGGAAAATTCAAAACGGGTTCAAAGAAGCTGAGAAAGTCAAAATATGCAGAAAATATTACTGCTAATCTGACCTGTATGCCTGCATGGCTGCACAGGTAGAAATCAAACTCAAAGGGATGAGTGATGCTGGTGTCCACTGTGGTCCCTGCAGGTATATTGCCACTCTTCCCAATCTGAGGAGGAAATCAGTAATTAATGATTTCTAAACACTAAATAAAACATTAAACTTTTTTGCCTAGAAGATGAATAGCTCACTCTTTCAGATTTGTCAGCACAGAAGAGGCGTGTGTGGTGGCGTTTCTGGACCACGATGTAGGTGATACCAGGCTGGTAATCCTTCTCCAGCTTTATGCAGGCGTCTCTGATAGCCAGGAGCTCATAGTGAAGAATCTGAACAGAAGGTACTTAATTAGGACTAAAGTTGAAGAAAAAAAATGAAATGATCATATAAAGTTAATCAAAAGAGAGTGCCTTCATGTCAAGCTATTTTTTTAACCTGTGGCAGCTGTCCCTCTGGAACCCCGTCTCTGTAGAAAATGATCCTGGTGGGCTTGAAGCGTGTCGACTTGTAGAACTGGATGAGCAGCTCCCGCACCATGTAAGACAAATCTTCAATGATTTCCTGCCGGGGTCTCTGAACACGCACTGTGGCACAGTATCTGCTGGGATGGGCGTCCATACTGCCTACCACCTGGAAGAAGGAAGCAGCAGGAGGAATGAAGACAGCTCCATGAGCTGTTATGAGGCACATTGCATCAACTCATCTGTTAAGGAGGATATGAAGAGTGAAAGTGATGTTAATCGAATAACAAGTGTTCAAATGTTCTCAAAAGGATTAAATGTTTAGTCATTTGAGAATGCAAGCATTTGTCTGCATTTCTAGACAATACAGAAACATACTTAAAACAAATTTCTCTTTATTGAAAGAATTCACAAAGCTTCAGTCCTGCTGTACTGAGTCATTTTTCCTTTTCCTTCCTATTTTCAATTGTATTTCTGAACATAAGCTTCCCCTAAAGGCCACACCTGGACTACGCAAGAGGCTCAGCATTTTCTATTGTCCAGTGTTTACATCATAATGATCCATTTCTACGAGTTGTCTCCTTTTGCCGGATCACTCAGACGTACCCACTCACTGTCTGTGTGACTCAATCATTTGTCATTATTGCTAGGCAACAACCCAGCCAACCACAGCTGAGATGAGGTCAAGTGTGGACGAGGGTTGACGTCATTTCCTATGAACGCCAGTCAATGATGAGCCATTTGTTTCCCAGCTCTGCCCTACTACTTTTTGCCTCCTTTTGTCAAAGATTATACAAAAATTCAGATTCATCTTAGACAATTGTCATGACATGGACAATAAAACCAGTGTAAGCTTGTTTAACCATTTAATAGATCAAAAGATTTTTTTTTGTTTCTTTTTAAAATCAGCTAAAACAGACCTTCATAATTGTATGATTAAGTTTTCAATGTAAGAGCTAAGAAAAAAATATTTTCTGTGTTGAAGACTAACGGTGATGCAGCTGCTTTTACCTTTTAAAGCTGTTCTGCTCCAAACTGCACAGCCATCTAGTGTCACAGTTACCAAGCAACCACAATTGTGTGAGTTTTCATAGAGATCCTTAAGTCATTTGCATTATTTACATGTCCTTCCTGTTTGTTTGTTTTTTTACTTTAAAAGGATAACTCTGGTATGACTAAAGCCAACACAGAACAAAGGAGGAACTTTGTAATGTGCTGGAAAACATTTAGAAATCATTAAATGTGACATTAACTAAATTTATGGAACTGTGGCTATAAAATATATATAAAACTAATTCAATGTTACAAATCTCTGAAATCATTGACTCCAGTTTGACTTGAGTCTCTTTTGTATCGAGCATTACATTGTTTTCTAACTTAAAACAATTCAATATAAGTAATAAATAGTAATAATATATTTAGATGTTGGACAGTTACTTGTATTGGGGTCTCCCAAGGTTATGAAAACATTCTGGTTTCTCATTATACCATTTCTACGATTTAAAGTCTCTCAAATAATATTCTAGAGTGTTCTTAAGCTGTAGGGAACAAACAGCTTAAGAACACTTAAGCAGCTGTTGCTGCTGTTGCTGCAGCAATGTGCAGCAACAGCAATGTGCACCTGTTGCTGCACATTGCTGCTAGCTAAAATAATGTCATTCTTTTTTTTTTTTCATTTGTACAGACAATTATAGTGTGGAAATCAAAGAAGCACCATCTATTGTATCTGGCAAGCGAAGTGCAACATGTCTGTTAACCTGCAGTCTCTTAATATTTACTTTGCCTGTAAAACAAAAACCTACTACCATTTAATGTAATGTTTTTGAGCAAGTTTATTTTTTAAAATAGAAATGAATCTGTGTTAACTGTAATGAAGATATATAATAATAACAGTAGGCATAATGGTAAAGTGATTAGGCTTAACCATTATACTATAATGGCATCGTCATTATTATGTTATGTTATATATTTTTGTTTTCGATTTCATGATAAACACAGTTGTTATACTGGCTCAAGCCCAACAGTTACCAACAGTTACTGGTTTGGGTGAACCAGTGAAGTTCACCCAAACATGTGTTTAGCTCACACATTTCATGGGGAGCTTGGTTTTCCTTCTTTTTCTGGAGAAAATGTAAAAATCCCAAACAATATTCAGGGGCTTACAGCAGTAATAGACGGCTTCTTCCCATCGCCAGCTGGTGGATGCGTGACATCTGCTCCCAGGAAGATAACCGGCTGCTGAAACACGGCAGATCTGACGATGCACACGGGAGAGCAAATGCAAATTAAGACTGCTAATCGAGGAAGAACAGGTTTGATTTTTAGAGTCATTTCATAGGAAAAAATAGAAAAAAAAAATCTAACTTTCAAAAGATTCCAAATCATTACATTTTATGAAATATGCAGGCAATGATTTTATTTTCTTGACAGAAGAAGCAGACTATGCTCCAAGAAAGCTAATATTCTGTGTGAACTGTGGCAGCAGTAATACAAGCATGAGTTATTCACAGCAGATCTTAAGTTTGATTCATCTAATGCACCAAATGTAAACATATAAAAACACACTCAAACAGAAGCTCACCTTTGGTGAGGAACCAGGATGTTGTTTATTCCTCCCAGCTTCACATTGATCTTTAGGCAGAGGTTGGACAGAGTCTGAGGCGATGTTTTTACAACATTTTTCACCTGGACACACTGCGTGGCCATGCCGAGCAGAGTGTCTCCCACACGCTTCACCTCCGCTGGAGAAGACAAGAGTTTGGACATTAGAAAATCATTGTTGTGCTTGAAGAATGTGGGAACATCCTTTTGATGTATCCACTTAGTAATCTGATGAGTGTACAGCCTTTGGCGAAATACTTATGTTAAGGGACATAAGTATTTCCTCCATTACTGTTAGCCAGGTTGACTTTCCCAGAAAAAAAAAAACATAAAAAGGGTTATCATTTTTGCTCTTAAAAGCAGAATATGAAAATTAAAAACGGTGAATTTATTTCCTAACAATTTCCAGAGCCTTCTTTGTTTTATTTTTGCCTGTCATGATGAGTCAACTGTCCTGAGTGGGTGCTGAACAGGAGGCAGCTGGCTCTTATCTTGACTAATAAAACTTACTTGCCTTTGTTGTTGTGAAATGGTGTTCTCTTTTTTACAGAGTGCACAAACATAAAAAAAGGAACACAGCAATAGAGAAACAACCTGTCAGAACTGACATACCATAAACAGGAGTTTTCCCAGGTAGGATGACAATGATGAGCTGAAGTCCAGAGTAGGTGTTTTTCAGGTGTCTGAACATGGGTTCCACGCTGTCAGCTCCTTGGGCATACTTACAGAAACATGGCTGGCCTTGAATCGGCATCCCAGCATCCTTTGAAATTTTGCGCAGCTGGTCTGTGAAGTTCCTGAGTTAAATCCAAAGTTTTGTTAGGAAAAAAATTCAAAATAAAAACAGTGAAGGCAGAGTACAGCAACAGTGTTTTACAGTGTGCACTTTTTTATTAATTTTGCAACGCTTCAACCGAAATAATGTTATTTTCCATGAACCACTCCATAAATATATTACAATTAAATAAAAATTATGTGACATGCATTTGTTTTCAACTTTCTTGACTGAGATGTGTTTTGCCAGAGATCCAAAGTTTAGAGTTTTCCTTAGTTTCTGATGCCTTCACAAAAACATTTTTATTTATACTGAGCTTAAACTACACACGGCTGGACTTTATTTACTAACTAAATAGATTTTTTTTTTATCCCAGGTGATTTTCAGACTTTTGCTTGTCAAAAATTTGGAAACTCATTTCACTCCGTACTGGAAGTGTGCACTTACTTGAGCACCTCCTCTCTGCACTGCTTCTGTGGAGCAAAGCAGGCGATCGCCCAGACTTTGATCTCAATGCCGTTGTAAAACTGCTTCCCCCTCATGTCCCAAACTCCCTGGTTGGGAGTCGCAATAGCCCGGTTCTGTGAAAGAAAGAAAAAAATAAGTGTAAGTCAACCAGAATTTTGTTGCATTTGGAAAACGTCAAACGGTTGCATGATTACTGATAAATGTGCTGTGTTTACCCGTCCACCATACTGTAGAATGGGAGCTGGCAGCACCCTGCCTGTCACTTCAGCCATGTCATCCTTCACCTTTATCCCAAACTCCTGGATGTATGGGTCTAGGTTGAAGTTAGCGTTCTTCATCTGTGAAGAGTAAAGGACATGCATCATATTTCACTGCCTGCACCACAAATCACTGAGACGTATTATCTCAGGTCACACGCATGGAAACCATGAAGCGTTCTCCAGAACTCACCAGCCTGCTGATCTCCTCCTGCCTGTCGGGCGCAGAGCGAGCTGTGGCTTTAATCATAGTGGAAGTCTGATTATCCGTCAGCTTTTTAATGCACCGCTGACCCGCTACAATGTTACAGACCTAAGAAGAGCAAATACATAGACAGTAAAACAACTTAAATGTTTCCTGATGATTTACAAAAATCAGTCAGGTTTCCATAAAGATTTACCTCCAGGGGCAGGTAGGTGTGTTTTTGCTCCTGCCCAACTTGTAAACAAGGTAGGTGGGGGTATTTAAGCTGCAAATTGTACTTCTGCTTGAAGTACTGGGCCACTGTACATTCTACCGTCTGCCCACTTTCAAGCTGAAGGGGAAACCTAGACATAAAAAGATCTGAATCAGTATTGCACCTGTATTGACAATTACTAGTAAAAATATATCTCATTTTCTCAATTGTTTGCATCTCTTATAGCTGTTCAGATGAAAATTGACAAAGTTTTGTTAATTTGTCAATAAATGTTGTTTATTTTAAAGAATAATTTTATTCTTTTTAATTTAAAAAAAAACATGTTAATCCCTCAT